CACTGTTCCATGCAGGTTGTTTAAGAGGCAGCTGGAGCTGCTGTTTGGGAAATACGTCCCTCTCTCTACCATGGGCAAATCCACATCTCAGTGAGGGGCATATTCCTGCATGGAGCTGGCAGGTGTCTGCCACTGCACCAGGACTGGTAGTAAGAATGGCACAAGCAAGTCAACCACCTTTAATTTCATTTCATTAAGGCCATTGCCTTAATTATGGGCATTAATGCACAAACTGTGTGGCACAAGCTCTAGGTGAAGTGCCTTCTTGTATAGCAAGGTTAAATTTCATCGTAATTTTTTTTATATTAATGTTTTGCATTCTGCAGTCCAGTGCCTCATACTAATTCCAGTCCTAAACAAGAAAAGCTGGGCTAATAAAATCAGATCTGGTTAACTGGAAACAACAAACAACCAGTTCTAGACACCGGTTGACTCCAATGCGAGCACAAGCTCCAAGTGTGGCTCCGATGATCTGAGGGGATTTAGGAGAGAAACAGCCACGTACCACTGAGACTACTGGGAAGTACCAAATCCCAGGTACAACAAATCCCCTATTTTGGCCACAAACAGCTGCCAAAATGACCAAGGGACTGGAGAAATGATCAAATGGGAAGGGATGAGAGGTGTGTGCCTTGTTTGTTCCGACGGAGTGAGAGCTGGAGAGGGATGTGATTGCTGGCTGTGGAGGTGTCAGTGCTGACACATCCAGACAGAGAAGCTGAACAACCATCAGAACAAGGACATGTGGATGAAAAACAACCCTGAGGTTAGAAATCAGGAGGTGATTGCTACCATGGGATGATGTCCCAGTCAGAGCAAAGGGGAAAAAGTCAAATATGGTCTTAAATATGGAGCTTAAAAACTGCCAAGGATTATGCAAAGCTCGGCTTGGTGGCACTGGCTGGGGCTTCCCCACAGGCACAGCCCTTCCACCACTACTTTGGGACTAGAAGTTTTGTTTTTAAGCATAACCTTTTAGCCTTGGTGATGCCCAAAATGTGCAAGGTCACCTCCTGGCACGGGGAACCGGAGCTGTGGAGCAGCTGGGAAAAGAAAATCAGCGAGACCGAAGGGAGAAATAAATTTCCAAATGCCTTTGGAAGCCTTTGTGGGAGAGCAATCCAATTTCCATGGAACATTGAAGGCCTGACCCAGACGTGTGAGCAGGTAACTCTGGCAAGAGTCCTCAGCAGGGTGGGTGGGAGCAGGAATAAATTTAGCCGGGTTTGCTTTGGAGATCAGACTGTGCTCATAACACTGCGCTTAGAGGATGCTCTCGAAAAGATTCCAAACACCCCCGTGTTTCTGAATTCCCTGAAACACCGAATAGAAGCAATTGTCTGAAGGAAGAGTTCTCTCGGATTTCAAACACAAAAAGATAATGTGCAACTTGAGTTAAAAGCAGCTATTTCGAGACAAGACAACTTTGGTTTCATGGTTATTTACCTGATACAGCGGGTCCTGATGACTTTCTGCAGCAGAGGGTTTAAAAGAAACCTTGCTTTATAACTTTTATTTTTCTGAGAAATGTAAACTTTGAGCTGTTTTACTTATTCTTTGGTTCCAGAAACGAGCAGGAGAGAACATGAACTTCTGACCAGGAGTTGTGCCCTTACCTGGGCTTGGTTTTATTGGGGAATGAAGCTGAAAAAAACTTCTTTGAGAGTTAAGATTTAGAAGTTAGGAGGCCCCTAACTCATGCATATTTTCAAGGAGAAACCTCATTCCTTCTTTTAAGAATCTTTAAAAAAGCCCACAAACAACACCATGGGCCTGATAGTAAAGGGCAGATAATTAGTGACAGCTCTGTAACACACGTTATTAATCCTGCTTGGGGAACTTCCTGAGATTAGCTGGATGGTGCCCCAACAGCTGGATTCAGGGATGAGACATAGGGATAAATCTGCCTTCCCTGTAAATGGGAACAGGGGAGGCTGAAGGATGGAAGCACAACCCTCACCTTTTCTTCTGTCCCTTTCCCAGGGTGGGAATGGTCCCTCCTTGGCCTGGCCCAGCTTATGGTGAGAAGTGTCCTGGCTCTGACCAGCCTGTGGAACATTTGCTCTTCTGAAAGCATTTGACACATCTGAGATGTTCATCTCCTGCAAGTTTTCAGATCAAAATCAGGAAGCCATTACCCTTTGCTTTCATTTAGTGAATAACTGCACTCACTTTGCTGCAGGTCCAACGATCCTCCTGATACACTTCATTCCCTCTTGATCCATTATTTTATTGGATACTTAAGTCACCCTTATCAGGCAGTTAATAAGAGGATCGTTGTCGATAATTAATGGCAACATCTTCCTCTGAAAACTAATTAATAAGAAATGCAGCATCCATGTCCTTTGGAATGTGGCTCTGTTGGAATATCTTGCTAATGACGCCTTGGACACTTCCAGGGATCCAGGGGCAGCCACAGCTTCTCTGGGCAACCTGTGCCAGGGCCTCCCACCCTCCCAGCCAGGAATTCCTTCCCAGTATCCCATCTAATCCCACCATCTTTTAGTTTAAATCCATTCCCTCCTGTCCTACCATTCCATGATTCCATGGAGGACGAGAGTGCAGGCGCAGCAGAGGGAGCTCAGTTCGGGGGACAGACGCGATAACATCTTGTCGCACACGCGCCGTAATTAATTTTAATTTACTTAATTAACAATTCAGTCTTTGGGGAAGGAAGATGAAAAAGTTCCTTCATAAAGTGACAATGGGTGATTGTTCTCGGCTTCTTATCCTGGAGGCACTGGGGATAATGAGAGCCGGGGAAATACTTGGATAGATTGATTATATGGAGGGGATGGGAGTCCTCCGGCACAAGGCTTCTGTAACGGGCACCTCCTCCCCCTTCCCATCTTCCCAAGGAATTCAACTTGGGGTCAACACACGGAAAAGTAAAAGTTCTCCTCAAAATCCCATTTTCATTTGAAGACTCACGGTGTGGGAAGTCGGGTACGGATTTAACCTCTGCCAGAAATAATCACCCCTTCGCCAAACACTCAATCAACAGACAACAGAAGCTGGGGAAATGATGCTATTAAGATCTGAACGTGGAAATTCCCAATCCTTTTCCCTGGCACACATAAAAATAAAACGATATAAATGAACCCCGGCAGATGCAGCGTCATATGGAGTTGCTTAATGGCAGTGCTCAGCCTTCCAAAAGGAGATTTACATCCACAGTCGCTCCTAAAACTTGACATTTGTGTGGAATAATTCAGAATTTGCTGCTTGCTGGGCTTTGTTGCCTTTCTTACACCCCTCGGTGCTGTTAGTTCTGCTCTTAGCAAAGCCCATCCCTTCTAACAGATGCAGATAGTTTGTTGTTACTCCGCAAAACTCGGTTCCGTGTTTCGCTAAACCCAGCTTAAAACTGCCCCCTCGAGGACTCTTTGCCTGTCACAGATTTAATTTGCACCATTACCGGGCTTCAGCCTAATTCCCCCACAACTATTCCAAGTATTTTAACAAGGATCACATGTTGGACATGTGTTTCCATGCCTACGTGTGTCCCACTTCAGGACAAACTCATTCCACCTCACTCCTTGTACGGATGCAAACGAGGTGCTGGCAGGACATCCCTGTCCTGCAGATAAAAGGTGTTGGAAGCTACATCTGGATCCAGCAGCTGCCCAAAAACTTTATTTTATTTTATTTATTTTATTTTATTTATTTTATTTTATTTATTTTAGGGTTGCAAATACCAAACTTGTACTTCCATAAATGTCCTAAGTTTGTTCTCATTTTTGAAAAGTATTTAAAAAAATTGTTGTATTTATTTAGTTGATTTCTAACACTTTATTCTATTTCTTTTTTCATTCTGTCATAACCAAGTTGTTCATGACAAAGGTTTAGGCAGTACCAGGTTTTTCCCGGCACTTACTGTGACACCTTGGGAAGCAGCTGCTGCCTGTGTGGGCCTGTGGGCTCTGCTCCATCTCCCACTTTCCTCTGAGAAAAATCTCAGAGAGGTTTCTTTATTAAATCCCAGACTGGTTTGGGTGGGAAGGGACATTAAAGCCCATCCCATTCCACCCCCTGCCACGGGCAGGGACACCTTCCACCAGCCCAGGTTGCTCCAAGCCCCATCCAATCTGGCCTTGGACACTTCCAGGGATCCAGGGGCAGCCACAGCTTCTCTGGGCAACTTGGGCCAGGGCCTCCCCACCCTCCCAGCCAGGAATTCCCTCCCAGTATCCCATCTGTGATCTCCTATTTGTTATTTTGATTGATGAAACTCTTAAGGTGGATGAGACCAAGTCTGGGAACTACAGATTCTCCTTTTAGTCACAATGAAACAAAAGACAGGATGGGATAGGATGGGATTGGGTAGGATAGGACAGGATAGGATAGGACAGGATATAGGATAGGATGGGATAGGATATAGGATAGGATAGGATAGAGGATAGGATAGGATAGGATAGGATAGGATAGGATAGGATAGAGGAGAGGATAGGATAGGATAGGATAGGATAGGATAGGATAGGATAGGATAGGATAGGATAGGATAGGATAGAGGAGAGGACAGGAGAAGAAAAAAGCTTCCCCTCATTTTTCAGGGGTGAATCTTCCCTTTTTCTTCAGCAGCAGAGAGCTCAATCCACAACTGAGAAAGATAATGACAAACCCCAATAATTTTTGTGTTATTTTTATGACATTTTCTGTCCCTGGAGAAAAATCAGCGAGAGGAGCAAGAAATGATTTTCCTGGAACTGCAAATGAGCGGTGTTTCTATCAGGAGTTTGGAATTGCTTCTCTTTGAAAGAGGCTTGAAATGATTGTGATTTGACAAGATGGGAACTTGTGAAGTAGGATTAAGAATATGTCCATCCCATAAACCTGTTTTCTGTCTGAAAAGTTGGGTCCTCACAGCAAACTCTGCAACCCTCCCGGTGAACATGCTGGGGGTACGTGCGAAGCAGAACCCAGCTGAGTAGGAACTGGGTGTATTTTTGAACTCAAAGTATTTATTCTTCCCTATTTATTCCATTTGTTCTTCCATTTAGGGAATTATTAGTGCCCAAAGGACTCACCTGCAGCATGGACCTGGATGTGGAGGTGGCTGGAAAAGCCTTTGTTCCCCATCCCACTCTGTACCTGGTTTAGCTCCCTTCCCAGCTGGGCCCAACCCACGGCTCAGCCCTGGATCATTCCCTCATCAGGATCCATTCCTGCCTGGAATTCTGAAACACCAGTGACAGTGGTTCTCTTGGACTTGTGTCAACCTGTGCCAGTGCTTTCCTGGGATCTGGACACAGGAATATGTGAGGATGCTCTTGCTCTTCCTTTCCCCACCCTGCTTTGTCCCGTGTAAGTACATCAAACCCCTTCCCACTTCCCAGACCTTTTCCAAAATAGGTATTTCCAGAAAGAACTATTCTAAATATATATATATATATATAGTTTCCTGTTCTAAATCCTAACCCCTCACCTTCTGTTGGGATGACAATTCCAAACACCTCTCCTGACAGATGGAATCTTTTGCAGGGGATATTTCGAATCAAATCTTCCATTTTAAAGTTTGGGATTTTTTTTTCTTTTTTTTTTTTTTTTAAAGCAAAAAAAAAAATTGCTTTCAAGTGTTGGCAGCCAAGGGATCAACTGTAAAACCTGGTACAGAGAAATGACCTGTGGGGGCCTGATTTCCCACTGCTGGGCTTTCAAAGGCAAAGCAAATATAAGGGATCATCAGTCCAGGTTAAACTGGAGGTGGCCGGTGGGAATTTCTGGGGAGCACAAGGATAACCAGAGACACCAGGAGCGGGGCAGGAGTGCTTGATGGGCTGGTCTGGCAGGTCCATGGAAACCCCTCAGCTCGTGAGCTGAGAAATTTATTTTGGGTAGGACGTTTTTAAAGCCTCAAAGTGTTTCTGCAGATTTGCCCCCGGAGCGAACCGAGGAGGAATTCCTCGCGGGGAATATTGAACCAAACGACCTGTTGGTGTGGTTGGGATTCCTGGAAATCCTGGGGATTTTGGGGGGATCCTGAAATGTGGATCTTGAGTTCAGCCCGGTGGGAACAGCGGAGTGAGGGGTGGGATGGGGGGCGCTTTGGGTGGGTCTGTTGCTGGGATGTGCCGTGTGAGCTGGGATGAGCTTCCACAGCCGCCGGCTCCCTCAACTTACCCGTCGGACGCCGCCGCCGCCGCCAGGAGCTCCATGGCAATGCCCAGCTATGGGATTTGCAGTGTCACCTGTGGATTCTCTTGGCCTTCACGCCCCTAAATCGCCCTCAGCACTGCTGGTCGCTATTTAACCTGGCAGAGGTGCCCTGTTTAAGGCCGGGCATCCCACGGTGGCACCGTGCAAAGCCATCGGAACACGGAGTCCCTGCCCCGAAGAGAACAGCACAGGAACTGTTTTTTCTGGTGATTTAATCATAATATTGACAACTTTATCAAAAAATTACAAAACTGATATTAAAAAAATCCTCTAATTCTTAGTAAGACTAGAATGGGTTTGTTTTTTTTTTTTTTTTTTCTTTCTTTCTTTCTTTTTAAAAATAGAAAAGCACTTTTATGCTACGGCTCTTCTGGAATTCTCACATTACAACCCTACATAGCAAAATACAAATTGTAGCTAAGAAAGGTACCAGTCCTAAGGTAATTCAGTCCACCACGAGCCCTCTAATATCTCTAGACCATCAAACTCAGGGACTCCGAAAGGATATCACATCACTTAGAAACCTTCTGCAAAGCTGATTGAGGAAAGACCTTTAAATTTTAAGTTCCTTTTAACCCCTAAGACCTTAGACTGTGAGGAAAACAGACCTGGGACATCAGAGGTGGGGTGGGTTTGGTTTTTTTTTTTTTGCCTTTTTTTTTTTTTCTTTAATTTTCCAACTATGTGAATTTGAGTTTTGCAGCTGACACCAGCCAAAGGTTTTCTGTCAGAACACGAAGAAAATCCACTGGAATAAATGAAAAGATTTTCGTTGTTGTTCCGTTTATGGTGTTCACAAAACGCACCATAACAGAAAGAGGAATTATTTCCTTTAATTTGAACGTCATCTGAATGACTCAACCACATTGTCACCCACTCAGCAAAAAGAAAGCATAATAAATAAATAAATAAATAGACAAGAATACGTAACACTTTTACATCCTCAAGGAATCACGTCGTTCCCTAAAATCTACCGAGGTCCTGATCGACGCCGTGGGCTCGCTGTACTCAGCCACTTCACTTTGGGGTGATTGTGCCATATTAATGACAAATAAAGGGGTGTTCCACTTGCCACAATGGAGTATTTTTCCTTTTTTTTTTTTTTTTTTTTTTTTTTCCCCCCCTCCTCCTTTTAAATATAGGAATTCTCTCTTAAATTAGAAAGTAGGCAAAAAGTACTTTTTTTTTTTTTAAATTTTCCTTTTTTTTTTTTTAAGTCTTCTATTAGAAAAAATAGAGATTTCTTAAACAAAAAAATAATAAGGTAGAAAGAGAAGGGTTGGGCCTCCATCAAAAAAGTAGATTATGCTTTAATGCAAAGAGAAAGAAATGGCTCTACGGGCAAAATTCAAGTATGAGTGACCAGTTTTTTTAATTGTAAAGTCGGTGCAACATTTTTTGAAAATGTTACAACACTGCACGACCTGTAACGCTCACAATATTTACAGGAACTGCTTACACGAAACCAGGAAAACTCGGCAAGAGAGGAGAAAAAAAAAAAATCGGTCTGGACTGAAAGCAAACTACTCCTGCCCCCCCAGCAATGCCGTCATCCACCGAGGGGAGCCACGGAAACACCGGGGAGCACAACACCTAAACGCTCCCAGGAGCTTGGACACAGCTCTGGGATGGGATGGGAGGCAGCGGGGGCTCAGGGAGCCACGGACACGCCCGAGGGACACCGGCGACCGGAGCGACGCGGGACGGAAAAACGGGAGCCACTGCACCCCAAAACAGCGGGAATGGGAACCCAGCGGAGCAGGGCCATGGAGCTGCCCCATGGAGCTGCCCCATGGAGCCGTGGGGTCCCGTCCGGGCCGGAGGGGACGAGCCCGGAGGAGCCCAGAGGTAGGTGCTGCGTGCCCGGGGACGCGGGAGCCCAGCCCAGGGAATCGTCATCCTCGGGGTCATTCCTTCGGACACGCACTGTGGGACCTGGGACAGGAGCAAGGAGTTGGGATCCTGGCGCCCTGGAGACCCCAGGGAGCTGATTGCTGCCAGCCCTCGCTAGAGAGCGACACCGGGAACGCGGGGGGGAAAGGAATCTGAGGTAAGTGGTGATCCCGGATGAAGGACTCCACCCCGGGACTGGGAATGGTGAGCAGAACTATCCCAGGAAGCCTTGAGGATGCCACGGCTCCCCTCACCATCCCCACCATCCGTGGGGAAAAAGAAAAATGAAATCCAATGGAAAGAATGTTGTGCTACACTCCCGTTGGTTAAGTTTATAATGGCTCATAGCTTTAGACTTTTAAATCTGTAGTGTATTAATTTCTTCTTTTTTCTACATATGTTTCACATTTCTCACTTAATATAACATAAATAATTTGGTTAATAGATTTAACCTGCGCATTTCAGCCACATTAATATATATAAGAATCTGTTAATGGTATAAATAATTCTTTTTAAATAAAATAAATCTGATATGTTACATAATACTGATAAAAATCACTGCTGCTAATAAGTTTTGTAAGCCACCCTTAACTCCTTTTTGTGTTTCAATACCGAGGGATGGACAGCGGGATTACCTTTTCCAGAGCACTGCCCTTCCATTCTACTGCCAAACCAACTGGAACCAACACTGATCCCTTCTCAAAGCAGGGCCTCTGCCCCCCTGCAGGGTTAATGAAGTTAGAGAATCTCAGCTAATTAATCCAGGGGGTCAATGTTAGGGGGGGGGGGGTATCGACTGGTTAGTTCCTCAGGGGGCTCTGAAACCTCACCTACAGAAATGCTTGACTAAAACAGGCCTCCTACTGTTCCTTTTTCCTCTTCAGTCCAACCTACAGCATCCTACCGGAAAAGCTACGGAAAGCAAAAGCAACCGACGGCTGCGGCCTTGGAATTCTCCAGCAGAGCTGCGATCCCACATCCCATGAGGGATCTGCACTCTCCTGCAGGGACCTGAGTGGAGTACAGCACTTCCAGGCAAGGCTCATTCCAAACAGACAGGATCCATGAACACTCAGTGGCGTGAAGGGGATGTCATAATTAAGGTATTACATAATCATGCCTTCTCTCTGCTGTTAAATACAAAAACAGCATCTTTTACATTATCATATAAAAGCATTTAGGCTGTATTTTTATTTATCACTTTACACTGGTAGTCTCTTGTATGTGTACTCAATAGAAACCAAAGAATTTTGTACACTATTTTTTGTACAATAAAAGATAAAGTGTGCATTAGGTACGCTTGTACATGACAATATTGTACAATATTTACAGTTCAGATATCACCAGGAAATTCTGTATTATCTATATACACAAGGAAAATTTCTCAGAAACATTTGGACTATTTCTTATAATCACAATTTTTAGTATCATAGAAAAAAAAAAAAAAATTCAGTAATCATCTGACATTGTTACTGCAACCACTCCAGATTTCTGATTGGCTTCTCCAGCAACTTCTATCCCTCCTGATCATCCCAAATCTTGTCCCACTGCCCGGCGTGTGCCCCGCTGGCATCGAGCTGTCCCCACATAAATAGTGATGTACCAGCCTAGAGCAATACCTACAGATGGACTCAGTGTTCACAAGTACTGGACCAGTAACAAAGACATTCAATGTTATCTAGAGATCTTCCTCCTCTTGAGTTTTGGAGGCTTCACTTGTCTGTCTCCCTGTGGGATTGGGTGGACCTAAAAATAAGTATATTCACAGGTTAGCAAAGGACAGTGGGCAGGGGGGTCAATGAGCTATGGGGTTGATTAAAGGGCTGTTAGGAAACAGGGCTCAATATTCCACAGCTGCACAGAAGCCTGGATTAAAGGAACTTCAGGAATTCTGAGGAGCTGGGAGGAAAGGGTTGATGCCACATCCCAAAACAGCTGCAGTGCTTGGGAAACCACATAACCAGGACCTGATGCCCCAACTGCAATTCTGTGAGATTGTCAGTGGCAAACCTGGAGAGCCTGTCAGGACAAGAGCCATGAGGAGGGAAGCAGGCGGTGAGAAAATGCCAGGGAAAGCCAGGGCAGTCCAGCCCAGGGCTGTGGGGTTATTAAGGAATCATCAGCAAACTCCTCGGCCCGTGTTTCAAAAGAAACACTCAATTCTGAGCCAAGGGCTGGACTGATCTGAGAGCAAAACAGTTTTCCATCGGGAGAAACCAAGTGGGAGAGGAGGAGGAGGAGGAAGGCTGGGGCCTGGTGTGGAATTCCACCACCATCTGTCGGCGGCAGCTGCAGCTTCCCAAGAGCAGGAACGGATCCTTCAGCACTCCCTGGGCCCTTCCCAGCTCCTCCAGCCCCCCGACATTCCCTGCCTCTGCACTGGCTCTCCCTCCTGCAGCTGAGGATCCCACACGTTTTCCAGCTCAAACTGACTGATGCCTGAGCTGTAGTAGCTGAGAAAAAATGCAAGTCACTAAAAAGAGAAGTGCTGATTCCTGGGAGTGTTTCTAGGAATGGCAATCTTTATGGAAATGAACCCTGAGCACGAGTTCCGTGCCCGGATAATTAAAATATAAATCAAGATGCTGCACTGACACTCAGGTGCATCAGTCTGGTGTGACAGAGCCACCAGCTCAGCAAATCCACTTCCAGCAGTGACAGTGCACAGCAGCTTTCAGTACTCCTGGATTTACACATGGAAAAGGTGTCAGCAGGATGGTCCAGCCTGACCCCACATCCCTGATTTCATTGTAACAGACCCACAGTCAGACCCTGCTTTCCTGGTCCTTCCCAAGACAGGAGGGAAAAGCCCCTTGTTTCAAATCAAAGCTCAAATCCCAGTTTGTAAAATTCAGAGGTTTAAGCAAAATATTTGATTTTGTTATTACTCAGAGCAGCCACTAAAAGCTACTGAAGAACTTATTTAATATTCCTTGGTGGCTCCGAAATCAGCTCTGTTCTGCAGTTATCATTATATCTATAAAGAATATATATATATAAAATATACATTATGTATAAATATATACAAAGAAAAATATCTATATTCCTATATATGCACATATATAATTCATATAACACATAGATTATATATAAATACATATAAAGAAAAAAGAATATTCTTATATATATATTTCCTTTTTTATACTCCAGAAGCTCCCCTGAAGTGTTACTCGCACTTCCAAACATGTTAATTAATTATTTGAATTATTCAAATCAATTATTTGAATAATTAATGGAATATTCATTTCCATCATTGAATAAATAATTACTAATTATAAGATCTGGAAAGTTGCATGTGCTGTGGTGGATTTTTTTTTTAAATTTTCCAGTGGGCTCCAATGAAATTACAACTAAATATGAAGATGAGAACATTATATAAACTAAATTTTATATCAGGAAGATTCTAGACTGAGATAATAACAGTGAATTATGGTAGAAAAAACACTGTTGGATGTGATATTAGAAATACTCTTTTTTAAAACTTACCTTTCATGGCAATATCTTTCATTTCTCATGAGGAAAACTTTATTCCAAGAGATTTACACGCAAAGAATGATCCTTTCAAATGTGGTTTCTACTCAAACTGAGAAACAAATGAGCCTGATTTTGTGTCATTAGTCAGAGAAACCCCCTGGAACAGGAGTGGGACTGGAACTGATCCCAATATTTTCAGGCTCCGGGTGGAAATCTCTTGTCAAAAGCAATAAAACTGGCAATGCAACTAAAATTCTACGACTTTTCCCATCTTTCAGAACTACCTGACATTTGCAAACTGTCTTTTAATGCAGGAGAACCATTGAAAATTCCACATTATTGAAGGAAATAGAAACAAAATTGGGTAGGAAGCAACTCAAGCCAACCCTCCCTCACGGACACGAGCAGGGATAGAGGAAAAGGAACTTACATTCCCAGACATTTTGTCTAGTTCACTCATGGCCTCGTGTATAGCAGCTTCTAAATGGTTATTTAGCTTTCCACTTCTGGGAGGAAAAGAAATAATGCATCAGTCATTCTGGATAACAGCAAAAAAACCCTTACAAATGAATGATAAACACAGGAACTCCTTGGGAATGTTGTAACTGTGGAGCCTCCCGGGTTGTTGGAGCACAAGCAGGAAGATCAGACCTCTGGATAATATTATGGGAAGTGAAGCTTGTGTTGGAATTGCTGAAGAAAAGTTAAATATCTTTCTAACTTTAAACAGGTGTTGCATTAATTACCTCAAATATTCCTGGTTTGACCCTGGAATGAAGCACCCCAAGGGCTGTGGGACAGCTGGGGGGAAGACTTTGTTCTTCCAACCCCAAATTATCCCAAGGCACTGAGAGACACCACTATGGGCATCCAGCCCCATATCCTCAGGAAGTAAGGAAGTGCTGTCATCCTTGTTATCCTGCCTTGGAGAGGCAGGAAGGAGAGGAAGAGGAGGAGGAGGAGGAAGAGAACCATCTCAACCATCTGTATCCTGAGGGGAGGTGGTGGCACAGACAGGGAAGGGAAGGGAAGGGAAGACCTTATTCCCAGCTGGCACAGGAGGTCAGTCCCTCACAGGAGACACTCCCTATAAAAACCCTTCCCTCTAATCACAGAATGGGTTGGAAGGGACCTTAAATCCCATCCAGTGCCACCCCCTGCCATGGGCAGGGACACCTTCCACCAGCCCAGGTTTCTCCAACCTGGACTTGGACACTTCCAGGGATCCAGGGGCAGCCACAGCTTCTCTGGGCAACCTGTGCCATGGCCTCCCCACCCTCACAGCCAACAATTCCTTCCCAATATCCCACCTAAATCTCCCCTCTTTCAGCTGAAGGCCATTCCCCCTCTCTTTACCCAGGAAATCAAGCTCATCAGCTCAGCTGGGATGTTCTTCCCAAAGTCATTAATCAATGACTTTGCCACATAAATCTAGAACAGTACATGGGAAAATGAGGAAGGGTCCATGAGGAGACATCAAAGGATTTGACCCATGAGATAAAGTGAAATAGGGATGATCTGGGAAAAAACAATCACCAAAACTGTCTATCTGGCATAAAAATCACTTCTCTTAAGCATATAAGTGACATATAAATAAAAGCAAAGCTCACAATTTAAAAGGAGGGGAAGAGGGAGAATTATTTAATCTCCCATATTGAGAACTGACTTGGAATTCTAACACAGACTTAGGGAATATATTTTCCCTGCCACAGCAAATAAGCAGCAGCATCACAGAACAAACCCAATCCCAATTTCTACTTTGTCATCCTTTTAGAAATATCCAGAGGGTTTTTTTTTTTTACCCCCAAACTCCACAATTTTCCTGGTTTTGTCTATCCTGATGCTTCACATCCCAGAATTTGCTGTCTCACAGTGTTTCTATCCTTGTGTTTTCACTAAAAGCTAAAAAGGAGGATAAACCCCACCAGCTCCCCCAGGTCTGACCCAGAGCTCTGCACTGGGTTGGTTAAACACAGCCAGGCCCCACAAATCCTAAAACACTTCCCAGCAACGGGAAATAACGGGAATGTCTCTGAATAAACCTGTACAAAAAACCTGAATAAAAAGGGAATTTCCCTGAACAAACCTCTGCCAGAGGGAGAGGGAGGAGAGAAGGGTAGAGCTGGTTAAAAAGCGTTATTTGGTCACAACAGTTTTGATGTAATGACTTTTATTTTTGGTAGAAACTATAAAATCAGGAATCCTTCCCAGGAAAGCTCACACAAGCAGGATGACATTTCACAGGGGCTACTGGAACTACCAGGAGAGGCACTAAAAATTCAGATATCCAAGATCTCGGGTGAGTCTGTGACTCTCAGAACCAACAGGAGGAATCAGAGAATTATCTCCTCAGTTGGGCTTCACCAAAAGGGAAGCAAAAAAATTGGGATGGTTGTATTTCCCTGGTAAAGAAGGAGGATTTACTCACTTCCTGTTCCTTTTCCTGGCTCGGCTGTAGGCCTCCAGCCCCTCTGTTAGTGTCTTCAGCTTCTCTGGCTCCACCTGAGTGA